AAGCAGAAATTCTTATATGAAAAATTCAAATGTAAGACTAGAAAGAAATGTTTTGGTCCATTAAGTGACTGAGAGCGAGATGAAAGTCAGTGAAAGTTAAATAATGATTTAAGGGAAAGACTGCTTGCAGCGGTCACGAAAAACAATCACTTTGGCTGAAATCCGCTCAGTGTTTGTATAGGAAAACGAATATCAACAGGAGAATCGAATCCTTCCGGGTGGTGAGGAAAAGTCGCGATCTGGCACGCAACACCCCATCAAACAAGTTTTTGAATTTTCTTCCCATCTATCCAACAAATGCAGATAAGCGCTGCCAATATCATAAGAACCCAGGTTAAAGGAGAACAGGGATTTTCAGAAAATACTGAAAAGGCTTGACGCGGGAAACTTCCCTCGGAAAGCTACCTATACGCACCGGATGTTACGAGTATTACGGAAGGAAACAGCGCATGATATGCTCTAAAGCATGCCGCATTGATGACAGCACAAAATCATAACCCAGACATTTATTGGGCAAAGCCGAGAGCACCAGCTGAACCGGGGTGAGTTGGAGTGCTGTAAGCAGCCGCAACCTGAGCAGCATAACTTGGTGACAAAATGGCATTCCGGAGCAAGACTATGGCTTCGATGGAAAGAACAATACCTCAGCACTGTCGGCACACAATATATGCATGCATCTAAAGCGATGCGGGCTGACCGAGAGATACAGGCGATCAATGAACATTTTGAAGGAAATGCACAAAAACGGAATAAAGCTGTACTCACTTAGTTGTCAGTACAGCCCGGTTACAAAACTCAGCTCTCCACTCGGTTCAGTCATCTCTATCTGTACGGGGCCTACGGTGGCCCCACTATCTGTATCATCTACTTACTGTTCACACTAGTTCTTTTGGCATGTGCGCAGCTGGAGTGCCGGAGGGTTCAGGAATGGCAGAGAGAACCTTTGTGGCGGCATCCACGTCCGCTTTGCGTTTGAGCAGCTCACGGACCACCTCGTGGTGGCCCTCCTTCGAGGCAAGATGCAGTGCATTCAGCCCATTCGCATTACATGTGTTGATGTCGGTGCCGGAACGCAGCAGCTCCAGCACACGGTCCAAATTGCCGGCTCGAGCAGCTCGCAAAAAGCTCGCACTGCTCTCTCCCT